AACTCGTCTTTCCGACTTCCAATTCCGTGACATTATCTATTGCACCACCCGCACATTCAAGCTTACAGGCAGTTCACTCGAAAATAACTTGCATTGTCCAATGAATCTTTTAAATTAGTTCATTGATTCATCATTAAATTTTCAGCAACTTTATGCATTGTTTGCATTGATTGATTTTCTTTTTTTGATTGGTTTAACAAGCGTGGGAATTTTTTCAGTGAGTTTTTTCGAAACCGTCAAGCAATGTAGACATGCTCTCTTTCGTGTCTGAAACGGCTCCCCAGCTCACCGGCAGAGAGAGAAGAATGCAATTTTATTAACGAATCGACGCCGTCGCTCAAAACCTCACCAGAACGAGGAATTAATCATTGATTATCAACTAAATGTGTGTCGTTTAAAGCCAAAACAAAGTTGGGATTGACTTAATAATTCTTTTTTTACGAGTTAATATTGCATTAACACTTTTTAGAATAACAATAATTTTTTTCTAGATGCAAGTTCTACTATTTAACCCATAAATTAGGGGAGAAATGGATTCATATCTTTCCCAGGGTATTTGCGCGTATATGAATGTAAGGAACCCAACGGCAATTCGAGCTTGAATCTCCGATTTTTGATTCCGAGCCACTACCTATTACGCCACCCGCACATCCCTAACTTTGTACAAGAAACCCCGGCAGGATGAATCACGCCAAACTTAACCTTTTTTATATCAAGGATCAGCTATTATATGGGACCTTACCCATAATAACATAATGGACTATTCCATACGTAATAAATATTGCGCCTCAAGAGGAAGCAAAGAGTCAGTCTGAAGTCTGGAGTGAAGTCCGTCAGGAGTCCATCAGGAGTCTGTCAGTCAGTCAGAGCGAGCGAGCGAGTCAGTCAGTCGAGTCAGAGGCAGTCCGAAACAGAGCCGCGTTCAGACAATTACTACTAAACCTGATTGTTCGTACTAACACGTTCTACTTCTCTGTATATATTCCTGTTTGTAATATATCTGTGTTATTCCATATACGTGTTCGAGTTCTTCTTTATTGGTTCTACCTTTGACTATCACCGTGGTACAAGGAACCGGACCATAACAATATCCTAGATATCCTGATAATATACATGCCATACTTCCTTCTTTTACGCCTTTACAACAACCTCGTTCAATAAGCCTCTACTTCGAGGGGCTATCGGGCATTATATTAGGTGAATAATAGTATAAAAGAATTATGTCAGTGTGACAGTCACTTTGATCTTCATAAAATCCAAGCAATGGCGATATCCTACTATTTAACTTATATGCATTCATCTCTTTCCCAAGTGTATTTGCGCGTAAGCGAATCTGATAAACCCGGCTTGAATTCGAACACAGCTCTCCGAGATGCTACTCATTATGTTATCTGAGTAGCCACTTGTTTGTATTTATTCTTCTTTACCTTCCCCTGTTTGAAAGCATTTCAAAAGACGTGGCACATGGTTCAAAATCTTGAACAGCTGCAATTAGTCTTAACCCTTTCTCCTTTCCAGAATTTCGAATTAAAAATCCAGGAACTTGGAGCAACAAACAATAGCTAACAGGACCCCTGGAAACTATCAGGTATTATGCCGGAATAGCCTTGACCTGAAGTTCAGACCAGACTGTCAAAGGGAACCATGATCTGAGTTGACCTATGACACCAGACAGATTTGGAGATCAGCGATTCACTTGTTGTTAGTAGTGACCTTTCACCTTTATTCGGTAAAGCAAGGGGGAGAAAGAGAATATTAGATGGATGGTTATATAAACGAGTGAGTCCAGAAATGATTTAATCAGTATCACATACACTGCAGATTGAGAATGTAGGGTCGTAGATGTTCACATACAATAAACTGATTGAAAGTAACTAGCAAATTATATCAGTGAATAAAATATAAAGTAACGAAAAGTCAATCTTGTGTTATAATCTTACAAGCATCCACCTACGTTATATTTCCAATAATGTTAAAAACTAAGATAAATCGATGATTTTACGCATCGGGTCTTCTCTAATCCTTTGCCTTTTATCATCTCATTAATTCGATTATCCCTTCCAATCTTTTTTTTTTTTTTTTTTTTGTTTGCCCGACTGCTGTTTATCAAAATCTACAAGTATGGACCAGTTTCATTTGAGAAAAAAAAAATGAAGAATTCACAAATATTTTCTACTGCATCTTCTTTTTTCATTTTTCTTTTACACTATCTCGCCATTAATTTTTTTTTTGCCGTATGGCGATTTTTAATATTTTCTATCCTTATGTGCCTTTCAGCCTCACAATCTCTTTCAATTCTTGTCACTTTATATCCATCAGCCTACCCTGCCTTTTAGTCTCTCAAAATCTTTTCAGTGTTGACCATGTTCACCATAGTCTATGAATATAGAATGCAGCGCAGTACGTAATCTGTTCAATGAAACAACATTAAAGATTAACACTCACGAGTCAGACACTCTACTGAATCTGCCTATATCGCTAATACCACCAGCAGCTGTTCCGTAATTCTTCAGTCTTCGATATCAAAGGCTGGCAGTGCATATTGCGGAAAAACATGGCCTCCCTTATACACGTCGCATTGAATATTTTGAGCCTTCTGATTGGTCAACCCTTCTATTGGTGAACTATAAAATGAGTCAGCTCATTTTGGCTGGCTCACTAGTACACCAGAGTACCCCAAAATTCCAACATTCAGTCTTTATCTCTTTTTTGTAACGTCAAAGAACACTCGTTGCCTCTTTCGTGGTGTCAACGAACACTCGTTGTCACTTTTGTAATGCTAGTTGTAGTAGAGACAACTATATCGCAGATACAACTATAGTAACGCCGTTGAACAATATTGGTGCCAGACGCCGTTGAATATCACTGGCACTAATAGTACTTGCTCGATAATACTCACTCGAATAGTAATCCGTATAGTGAAATAATCTAGTGAATAGCGGTCTGTATAATAATAGAGGGTAGAGTAGAAATAACGATCCAAATAGTAATAGAGGATAGAGTAGAAATGGCGATTACCGAATAGTATAGAGGATAGACTGGAATATGACGATTAATCTAGATGTCACGCGAGTTGCTTTATATGAGTTTCCTCTATGATCACGTAATCTACTTAATTCAATAATGGGATCGCCTACGTTTGCTCACTGGCGATCTATGTTCAAACTCAAGTGTCGGCAGCGACACTTTATTCCTATATAACACTCTTCGTATCCATCAACCTAACCTGACTTTCAGTCTCACATTATCTGTTTTTGTCCTTGTCTTTTGATAGTCACCAACATGACCTATCTTTTAGTCTCTCACAATCTCTTTCAGTCCTTTTAGTCTCTCACAATCTCTTTCAGTCCTTGTCTCTTCATATCCAGCAGCTTAATCTGTCTTTCAGTCATCCATAATCTCATCCGGTCCTTGTCTTTTCACCTCAACCAATCTAAACTTCCTTTCAGTCTCTCACAATCTCTTTCAGTCCTTGTCTCTTGATATCCGCCAACCTTAACTGATTTTGTCTTTGTGTCTTGATATCCACCAACCTGACTTGACATTCAGTCTCTCACAATCTCTTTCAATTCTTGACTTCATATCCACCAATCAAAACTGCCTTCCTCTCTCTCTCACTATCTGTTTCTGTTGTTGTCTCTTGATATCCACAAACCTAACATATCTTTCCGTCACTCACTACCTGTTTCAATCTCTTCCTATCCACGAACTTAACCTCTCTCTATCTGTATTTGTCCTTGTCTATTGATATCTACCAACCTATCATGTCTTTCAATCTCTCAGTATCCGTTTCAATCCTTGTCGCATCATATCCACCAACCTAAACTTTCTTCCATTCTCTCACTATCTGTTTCTGTCCTTGAACACCCAATTTTTCAGTGTCTCTATCAGTCCTTGTCTCTTCATATCTACCACCCTAACCTATCCATTAGACCACTCGCACAACAATGAAATCTAGAGATGATTGCATTCAAGCTAGAAGAAAGTGGTAGTAAAACTTATCGTATATGGTTACGTTTCCAATATAGGATGTTGGATAACAAAACGAAACTATTGTGAGACTCTAACATACCTACAACATGGACTCTTCCAGGACTATATAAAGTATGCGACATAACACTGAGAGAGAACAAGAAGAAGAGGAGGAGGAGAGAGTATTCTAAATACCGTAGTATCAGCCGCGTACGACTAACAATATTGGACACTAGTACATAGTAAGCTCCGCTTACACTTACACTATCTTTGCAACCTTTTTGCTTAATATATATTTCTTACCTCTAATCCGTGTTCCGTGTTCCGTGTTCTCCTTACGTGGTCACGACTTTGAGTCCACATCAGAAAGAAAGAAATGAATAAAATTAAACTTAATGAAATAAAGTAACGCATAATACTGACACTAAAAATTACAAGAAAAGAAAAAGAAAAATAATGATTGAATGAATAAATGAATGAAATTAGATGAATTAAAGTAACGATCAATAATTGCAATAAAAAATACTCTAACTTGTACAATATTTAATTTATAGAAGAGGCTAGCACTATCAAGTAAGCCGTATTTCTAGGGGAAAACCCATGCAAAATCCAGTATGGTAGCCCCGATGAACTACTCGGACAATTTGATATGATTTGATCTGTTTTTAACATAACCCAAATACTTTTGCTTTTCTTGGCCGATTTTTGAAGCTGCTACGCACATTTCATTAGTAACATCCAAGAAAATCTGTGCTCAGGTGTGAGCCTCGGAGCCGGTATCTATACTTTGGGCAATAATACGCTGCATTGGGACTACTTTATACAAGTTAGAATGCTTCTTTTTCAATAAACATCTTGTGGAATCCACCTTCCGGTAGAATTTCAAAGGACTAGCGAACATTGAGAAAATAAATAAGTTTCGTTTCTACGTTTTGTTTCTTTTTCGCATTTTTTATCCCCATTCGCATCGAGCGAATATTTCTAAAGGTATTAGAATCTGCCGACAGTAGAATACAGTTGTTGTCAAACTAATTATTGTGTGTGCATATGCCGGGTGTCCATCTGCTTCTATAACAAATAACTTCAACGAGTATGTATATATTCTCTATTTTATCGTTGCTGTTCGTATGTTCTACACTTGTCCGAGAGTACAGTAAACGGAAAGAAAGAAAGAAAGAAAGATAAAGAAAGAAAGAAAGATAAAGGAAAGAAGCGGAAATATCACGAAATGCATAAGAAAAAATATGGTAATACAAAAATTTAAATGAAAAAGAAAAAATGCGAATGAAGCAGGGAAAAAGAAATGGAAAAAGAAAAAAAAGAATATGAAAGAAAGAAAGAAAGAAATAAAGAAAGAATGAAAGATGAAAATGGATATATCGTGAGATTTCGTAAGAAAAAATAAAAAAATATGCTGATATAAAAATGTGAACGGAAAATAAAGAAAGAATATGAGGAAGGCAATGAAATAAAAACAGAAAAGGACAAAAAAGAAAGAAAGAAAGAAAGAAAGAAAGAAAGAAAGAAAGAAAATAAAATAAATAAATAAAAAGAATAAAGATGGTAATATGGAAATATGATTTGTAAAAAAAGAATATGAGAAAGTCAATGAAATGGGTAATGGAAGAAAAGAGCGAAAAGAAAGAAAGAAAGAAAGAAAGGAAGAAAGAAAGAAAGAAAGAAAGAAAGAAAGAAAGAAAGAAAGGAAGGAAGGAAGAAAGAAAGAAAGGAAGAAAGGAAGAAAGAAAGAAAGAAAGAGAAACAAAGAACGTGAAACAAAGAAAGAGAAGAAAAAAAGAAACTGAAGAAAATGAAACAAAGCAAAAGAAAGAAAAAGTAAAAAAAAATAAAATTACAAGAAAGAAAGAAAGAAAGAAAGAAAGAAAGAAAGAAAGAAAGAAAGAATGTATTGGTAATGGAGAAAGAAAGAAAGAGAAATAAAGTAAGAGAATCAAAGAAAGAAAGAATGCAAAAGGAAGAAAGAAAAGGAAACAAAGAAAAAAGAAAACGAAAGAAGAAAACGAAAGAAGGAAAGAAGAAAAGAAAAGAGCGAAAGAAAAAGAAACAAAGAACGTGAAACAAAGCAAAAGAAAGAAAAAGTAAAAAAAATAAAATTACAAGAAAGAAAGAGACAAAGAAAAGAAAGAAAAGAAACAAAGAAAAAGAAACAAAGAAACAGAAACAGGACAAGAAAGAAAGAAAGAAAGAAAGAAAGAAAGAAAGATAGATAGATAGAAAGAAAGAAAGAAAGAAAGAAAGAAAGAAAGAAAGAAAGAAAGAAAGAAAATATGATATATGAGAAAAAGAATAAAGATGGTAATAAGAAAATATGATCTGTAATAAAAGAATATGAGAAAGTCAATGAAATGGGTAATGGAAGAAAAGAGCGAAAAGAAAGAAAGAAAGAAAGAAAGAAAGAAAGAAAGAAAGGAAGAAAGAAAGAAAGAGCGGAAAATGTCAAAAGAGGAGAAATGTGATTAACATAAAAATGTGAGGAAAATATGGCGGAAAAGAAGGAAAGAAAGACAGAAAGGAGAAAGAAAAAAGAAAGAAGCAAACAAAAAATATGAAGAAAAAGGAAATAAACAATAGAAAGAAAGAAAAAACAATGTGAAGGAAAAGAAAGAAAGAAAGAAAGAAAGAAAGAAAGAAAGAAAGAAAGAAAAAGCGGAAATATAATGAATCATGAGAAAAAATGCGTATGATAATAACACAAAATAAAGTGAAACCTCGCGCCATGAACGCCTCTTTTACGAACGAATCGGTTCATAAATTTTCGGAATAAAAATCCTCTTGGGTGACAAACAGTGACGAACGGTGACGAAAGAGAGAAAAGACAGAAAGATTTTTTTATGTAAGGAGGCTCCCATTTCATGCAATAACATCTCTCCACTTGCCCTTCCTCACCACCTCGCCATTTACGCCATCAATACTTCTTCATACAGGTGCGATAAAATTAAATTAAGTTACGGTCTATACTTTATTTGTCTGTTATTTTGTTTATCGTTTATTTTTGCTGTTGTTTTTTTTGTTTTTTTGTTGGTTTTTTTTTTGTTAGATTTAATGATTTTCGTTGTTTTTGTGTATAAATCTGTGCATAAAATTATAAATAAGAAGTCATCTGGTGTCTAGGAATCCATTTTTACATTAATTCCTATGGGGAAAATAATTTTGGCTTACGAAAATTTCGGTCTACGAACGGCCTTCAAGAACGAATTAAATTCGTTCATCGAGGTTACACTGTATTTTAAAGGAAAAGAAAGAACAAATGGCCGAATATGAAGAAAGCAAAAATGAAAAAAATGGAAGAAACGAAAGCCAAGTGAAAGAAATTCACAATTTCAAACACAATTCCATTTGTCTTTCAGTATTTTATGCAAGAGAAATGATCAAACAATAATAAATGTTATCCAATTTATCCTTACAGAAGAAGAAGACGACACTCGAATCGACAAAGATGATGGATCTACTAACGAAGCTGAAAATGACAAAATATATAAACAGCGAGGAAGTTCTGAAGAAACTGGAAACTAGAAAGACTCTCATACTAAAATTCAGAAAGAAAGAGTTGAAACTTCTGAGGCACATTATGAGGAAGGACGACTTGGAAAACTTAATCCTCACATGACTATTGAGAAAAAGGAGAGATAGAAAAAAACAACGAACAACTTATTGACCTTGGTAGAGCGAGGCTTGAAGGGATGGTAAACAATCAAAAGTTGCTTAGGGCTACAATGAACAAGAAGATGTGGAGAGTCATGACTGCCTATCTAAAAAAGACAGCAAATAAATTATGATGATGGGAAGTTCCCAGGAAACTAGAGAGGTATTCATACTTAAATTCACAAAAAGACAGCTGAAATTTCTGGGACACAATATGAAGAAGGAAGACTTGGAAAGCATAATACTCAGAGGACTATTAAGAAAAACAGCGATCAGCTTAATAAGCTTGTGTGAATGGATGCCATATTGGAACATCATGGGATGATAAACTGTCAAACGTTGCTTAAAGCTACAAGGGAACAGAAGTTGTGGAGGTCCATAATCGCCCAACCGCTAAAGAGACTTAGTGCATGATGATGATGATGATGATGATGGTGATGATGATGGCGGGAAGTTCTGAAGAAAGTGAGAACCGGAAGACACGCATACTAAAGAAAGAGTCAACTGAAATATATGAGGAAGGACGGCTAACAAAACATAATGCTCACAGGACTATTGAGAAAAAGGAGAGATAGAGAAAATAGCCAGCAACTTGCCTAATGAATTATTGTGAATAGAAGACTGGACAGGGAAAAGGATGGATGTAAAGAGTCAAAAGTTGCTTAGAGCTACAATGGAATGGAAACTGTGGAGACCCACGTTCGCCTAACTGTTAAAGAGATATTGCATATGATGATGATGATGATGATGGTGTTGGCAAATTGCAGAGAAAATCGGAACTAGAAAGACAGCATACTTAAAATCAGAAAGAGACAGTTGAAACTTATGGGACGCATTATGAGGAAAGATGGCTCGGAAAACTCAATACCCACAAGATGTATTAAAGGAAAAGGGGTAGATGAAAACTGCGAGCAATTTACCAAATGAGTTTGCGTGAATGGATTTCACAGCAAGGACAAAGAAGGACGGGAAAAGGTATTTCATTTGAGCTATAAGAGACAAGAAGTTGTGGAGACCCATTATCGCCAAATGTTAAAGGGATACGACACATAATTAAAACTGATCCAATTTATATGTATGCGCAAGAGTTCAAATACCGGTTTAGTTTTTTTTTATTGCCGTCACACTTGAAAGGCATGAGTTCATCTCTTGTCTCTAGCCAACTATAAAGTAACAGGGTAGACTGCCATCTCTACCTTTGAGCGGTAATCAGTCTACGAAAAGTACTAACAAGAATTCCATACCTTGACGAAGTCAACGAAAAATTACATATATCCGAAGAAGCCATGATAAATCACCCATATTTAATCAAAGGAATCGCTTACTTCCTGAACGGCATAGCATTGAAAAATACTAAAGAATATTAATGTATATTACTATTACTACTGTATGTAGTATAAGAATATTAATGTATAGTACTATTACTACTGTATGTAGTATAAGAATATTAATGTATAGTACTATTACTACTGTATGTAGTATAAGAATATTAATGTATAGTACTATTACTACTGTATGTAGTATAAGAATATTAATGTATATTACTATTACTACTGTATGTAGTATAAGAATATTAATGTATAGTACTATTACTACTGTATGTAGTATAAGAATATTAATGTATATTACTATTACTACTGTATGTAGTATAAGAATATTAATGTATAGTACTATTACTACTGTATGTAGTATAAGAATATTAATGTATAGTACTATTACTACTTTATCGACCCATCACACATCGAAAAATTATAATTGTTCACGTTCGTTCTATCTGAGATATTAAACATAAGGCAAATTACAAATAATACTTTTTTCTCCCATTCATTTAGCTGCACTTAATCACCTTCTGTTACTTTCTTGGAAGTAGGAAAAAATTTCATGAAAAACAAAAATAAGAAAGAAAGGAGTGCCAAACTGTTATGTAATCTCAATCCTCCTTTATCGTAATGAATGGTGAGCAATCTCCTCAAGGACAAAGACTAGACTTGACGCAACAGAAACGTGGTTGTTCCGTAGAACGTTGCAAATAACGTGGACTGCGTGTAACAAAGGAATTTTAGGGGAAATAGAAACAAGTAGTATACTTATACTTTGAATCAGAAAAAAAAAAGACACTTGAAATTACTAGGGCACATATTGAGGAAAAAGGGCTTGGAGAATTTGACACTCATGGGACATATTGAAGTCGAGAGGGTCAGAGGAAAACAGCGCATAACGAGCTTCTGTAAAGGGTTGGTAGAATAGGGATTAGGGGCCTTAGTAAAACGACAAACCTTACTAAGAAATACAAAGGACAGGAAGAGATACACCACATTGAAGGCGAGACTGTCAAAATACCACTTACAATCGTTCTTTTGCTATTTTACGAATGATTTTGTAGTGAGTCTCGGTAAAAAAAACAAATAAAATAAAATATTTAAAAAAAAATGTATAAGCGAAAATAAAAAGCCATGTCTAATAGATGTCAGTTATAAGTTATCTCCTCTATAAATGTTTTCATGGTACTTCTAATAAGTCCACCTCTTTACAATCTCAACCACCTGAAGTGAAGCGTACAACTAGATTGGCAAACATTGTTTTAGTATTGAATCAGCTAAATTATTTACATTATTCGAACTATTGTCCTTATCTTTGTCACCATATTTATTCCAACGTTTCGGCCGTTGTACGCTCCGGCCTTCTTCAGGTTGGAATGTCGAACTGAACCCTTTATTTCGTTCACTGGGGTAGACTGTTCTAGTTCCACGTGCCATGTCTCTAGTATGTGAGTTATCAGTTATCTCCTGTTAATTTCCCTCTCCAAGTTCTCCACCGCCTTAACCAGGTAATGAACTCACACTCTTTGGGTCTTGTCACTGGATCTAACTAACGCCTTTATCCACTGTGCCATGGGTCTGCCCCAGTGAGCGAAATAAATGGTTCAGTTCGACATTCCAACCACCTGAAGAAGGCCGGAGCGTACAACGGTTGAAACGTTGTAATAAATATGGCGACAAAGATGAGGACAATAGTCCGAATAATGTAAATAGTGTACATGGTACCTCATCTCAGAAATATAGACAGAAAAATAAAAAGAATTCAAATTAAAATAAGGTATCTGCGCTTTCCTTTAAAACCCTTATTTTCTTTCTCTCCTCTCTCTCTCTCTCTCTCTCTCTCTCTCTCTCTCTCTCTTTCTAAACATCTCTTTCTTTCTAAACCTCTCTTTCTAAATTTCACTCAACTAAAGAGAAGGCAGCCCTCAAATAAAAAGAGGAGAAAAGAAAAGACTGAATCTAGCTCAAAGCGCCAGAAGTTTGCAGGAGCAGAGCCTACTTATCTGTGACTGAAAAATACCAAAAATCAGTGAGGCCCTACGCATAACTTCCATTATAAAAAAATGAAAAAAGGACAACGGAAAATGAAATCATTTTGGCCAATCAAAAAAATTGTCACAAAGAGACTTTTGACGTTAGCCGAAAACAATGTCCACGCCAAATCCTTGAGCCTGGTCAAAAGGATATAAACCTGACACCTCTCATTTAGAGGCAGAATGAACGAGGAGAAGATGGAAAAGAAAGCTACTGAGTTGAAACGGGCGATGCGTGACACGTGAAGAAGCAGTTAAGAGGTCATTTACTACTGATATCTCCATCTTGCTCAAGGCAGAAAAAATGCAGTAGATTGACACTGACCTAATTTACTACTATCCCTATTATAGTCTGACTTAAGACTACTAAAACGGTCATTTCTTCAGACTGCTACCAATATCCGCCTTATTAAGGAAATTTTGCTACTTACATGCCAAAGGGCTCACTCATCACTCTAGAGAAAGTAAATAAAATATATTATTTATTTTAAGCCCTTGAGTCAGTTCGTTTTATGCCCTATGCTTCCGATGAACACCAAGAATATCTACAATTACCACAATGCTTTATATTTCCGCTATTTCTTCGCATTTTTCTTCTTTTTTTTGTTTCTAAGCTGTTTATTCATCACAGTCTTAATTATCTAGCTGTAGATAATTTATCTTTGATATATCTATTCTTAACTTATCGTCAAATTATGCTAATTCATTTTTTTATAGTGTTATA